CCCCCGGTGCGTCCCCCGCGGGTCCACCCGCTCCGGAGGGCGCAGGGGGGGGGGCAGCCCGGGGACTCAGGAAAAAGTCACTGAGTCCCCGTTAATCGGCGTGGAGGAATTAATGGGAAGGAGCCTGGTTTTAGCTGGCACCCTGGCACGTGCTGGGGCTGCGAGATGGGGGCCGGGCCAGAGAGATACCCCTGCCTTTGTAGGGCCATGAAGTTAAGGAGGAAGGAGGGAAGTGTAGGAGCGGTGAAGAGACAAGTTGGCGTGAAGAGGTGGATGACGAAGGGGGGAGAAAAGAGGGAAAGGTGGGGACGAGAGGGGCGCCCCGCTCTGCCGCTTCGGCGGTGGGGGAGGGCGGGCGAGGGCCGCCGTGGGATGCCCCGCTCAAACAGCGCGGAGGAAATCGTTAGCTTTGTTTAGACCGGCAAACACCTGGGTGAAGCCGGTCAATAGCGAGGGATGCCCGCGGCTGCCTGCTGCCGCCACCTCGCCTGTTTGCCTCGAAATAACCGGAAAACGGGGTCTTGCCTTCCCCGAGCCCGCCCTGCGGGAGGGAGACCTCGCCGGCTCGGCCCTCGCCTCCCCCAGGCGATCCGCACCCCAGCCATCAATCAGGATTTGTACTTTTTTCCTCCCTTTTACTTCATCTTAGTGTCTGTGCGTGTCAAGCTGAGCCTTATTTCGTGGCATAAGCGCAAAAGGTTTTAACTGCCCCGTTTACATTATTTCAGCAACAACACTCTGAAAAGGCATCGCTCATAAGTAGTTTTACTCCGGTGGAATAATTTCCATCTGGTCTTTATTCCCCCTCACTTTGCATAGGAGAAAACAAGCTGCGTCTGAAACGTTAGACAGGTCCGGAGGGATCCCTTTCTGGAGGGGGCTGTTTTGGAGGCAGATCATCCCTTCTGCAGAGAGGCTCGTCCCGCCTGCCAGAGCAGCGGGGGAGGAGGGAGGGAGGGAGGGGAAGGGAGGCGAATCCCGGAGACCGGGCTTCGTGGGGCCGGAGGGAGGACGGCCCGTGCCGTCGGACAGTGACTTGCCTGGGCCGCCCCAGCAGCGCCTTACCGCAGCCGTGAAACAGCGACAGGTAGTTCGCTTTTCGGGGGCTTGAGTGGGGATCACTAAAGGGGAAAGCGTTTTAACACGGGGCTCGGGGAGAGGTGGAGGAGTCGCATCTGGTCGCTCCTCTCTCCCTCCCCTCACCCAGATCGGTGATTACAAACCTCCCAGGTGAGAGGGCGGTGGCCCCGAAGAGAGAAAGAGGCAGGGGGTCACAGATCAAACTGGAAAGTGATCTCTGGCGAGCAGGGGGTCTAAGCCCATCCTTGTCACTCCCCCTCCAAAGCCTGCTGGCTAATTACCCGGCAGGTTGTGGCCGAGCTCTGCCTTCTGCAGGGGGAGGAACCACCCGCAGGCAGCGCTCAGGTGCGGGGGGGACCGATCCGCATCGCTGGCCTGGCCGCCGCCGAGGGGTTTCTCTTCCCAGGGACCGCCGTGCCACGTTAACCTCGTCCTTCTCTCGACATCAAAGGCTTCCCCCAGCACACCCCTTTCTTTCATTTTGAATAGCTCTCAGTGTTGTCCGGGATCCCTTCGGTGACTTTAGGAGAAAGGCGCTTTCCCTGAAGTTCAGGGAGCCGGTTCTCAGTAGCCGAGGGCAGCACTCAAAAGCCCTTTTATCTGGCACGTTATTTCGCTTAGGTCTTAGGAATGAACTTAATCGTTAACTCAAAATAGGTATTTTGGTATCTTTCTCTCACGGGAGTTAAATCTTTAAAAAACAGCAAAACAGGCTTCCCTGTGCAACGAAATCATGTCTAGTTTTCCAAAGGTCATATGTATGCGTGTTTTAGAGCGAATACAACCAAAAAATTTGGGAAAAAAAAGAAGTTCCTCTCCAGCAGGCCAACACGAGTCAATTTTTCATCTCCTCACCTTACTTTTTTTTGTGTGTCTTAAATACACAGGACTCGGAGAAGCCTGGGGCCACTCTAGCCGAACCAGCCCGCTGGATAACGTTGGACGGGAACTGGGATCCCATCTTTTGCAGGTAGTGGTCTGGAAACGACAGCCATATGGTATTAATGATTAAAGAAATCATTCCCTCTTCTGAGCCTTTAATTGCCACCTTGACTAATTTTTAACTGTTCACGTGTTTAATAAAAAAAAAAAGGCGGGGGGGGAACTTCAGAAACACGAACCGTCGCGGTTGAATGTGGTGCGTTGTAATGGGGCTGTGGTTTGCTACCTCCGGGTCCTTTGCCCCGGCACTGGCCAACACAGGGACCGCAGCGAGGGGCTCATAGCATATCCCGGTGTTTCTTCTGGGACGAGAGAACGGGAGCATGACTTTTCCCCAAATTATTAACAAGGTGACAAGTCCCGGCAACGCGCTGAACCTCAGGGTGGTGTGGAGTCAGGGAGAGGCTCTAGAGACAAGTTGGAGGAGGCTGTCCTGGACAGAAGGGCTCAGCAGGCACAGAAATTAGCATAGACACAAATCAGGTAGGACACGTTTGAAAACTCACTGCGGTCTGAAATATTAAGGAATATTAGCGGTTACCACCACCACTACGGATTTTTGGTGGGGTTGTGTGGCCTTTTGGGGGCCTATTCTGCCCTATGCACACCCAGAAGACCCATCTACGCCTGCTGAAACGGGCCTGACAGATTGCCTCGTCCCTTATTTACACTGCGGAGAGTTTTAGATCCTCCTCGCTCATTTAAAGTCTCCTTAGCAAATATCCAAGCGCTAAACCCCCAGTGATATTTGAAATGGGATAGAAGTACTCAGGATTTCTGGGACCGACATATTAGTCACCGGGTAGCCAGGACCTCTTCTTAGGTACTTCCCAGGCACTTTGCATCGCTTTTGAGCTCGGTCCCTCTGAGAAGTGGGTTGTATCTCAGGAGCTTTAGAGGGATTCCTGTCCAGGACTTGCCCATTTCCTTCCAACTGTGTGAATAATCACAGCCTGAAGAGGGATGCCTGTTTGCTAAAATAAATCCGAGGGACAGGTACTTCATGAATCTATCTGTCTTCATGGGTGGATCTATCTGGCTATCTATTGATATATTTATACTTCCCGCCCCTCAACCCTTTTCTGCAGACGTTGGACGGTTTCATATTTGTCGTGGCTCCGGACGGCAAGATCATGTACATCTCGGAGACCGCCTCGGTGCACCTGGGCTTGTCGCAGGTACGCTGGGGGGGCCGCTAGCCCCCGTGCCCGCCTGCCCCCTCCCCCACCCCGGCTGACAGGGGAGGTGCGTGCGGGGAGGGTGAGCGGTGCCGGCGATGAACCCCTTCCTCCCCCTCCTCCTCCTCCTCCTCTCCCACAGGTAGAGCTGACCGGCAATAGCATTTACGAGTACATCCACCCCGCCGACCACGATGAGATGACGGCGGTGGTA